TTTTCCAATTTAATCGAGGATAACAGGCCGACCCCATCAGCAACAACGTTTGCAACAGCATCTGAGGATTTACTATGTAATGCTCATCAAATGAATGACAATCTTGTTGGTAAGTAGTGAGTCCCTAACAGTAATTTGTAGCCTCTCACCTTGTAATGAGTAAGAATTTTTTTTCACATTCTCACATGAAACGCGTACTTCAGATTTACTAGACATCGGTACTTCATCACCAATTCATCGCAACGTTTCGGCGCCAGCATTCCAAGAGAGTTCGAAAAACCTCGATCCGCTCGCTGAGTTCCTCTCAGCTGGTAATGAGACAGGTAAGACATTATTATATTTTCACCGCTCATATGAAACGCGTACTTTAGATTTATTAAACATCAGTGCTTCATCGTCGATACATCGCAATGATTCGGCGCCAGCATTCCAAGAGAATTCGAAGAACTTAGATCCGTTTGCTGAGTTCCTCTCACTAAGTGAGAGTAATCCTGTCAGCGCACAAGGTATTCGATCCCCTACGAGACGCTAGACTTGTCTTGCCACTCGTATTGCAGCATCAGCGCGTAATAGCGGATCCACGACCCCAATGCCATCAAGGCCGAACTACAGCCGAACAGCGTTCGACAATCTCAAGAGCAGTACGACATCTAAAGCTAAAGTCACTGGTGACGTGTTTGAAGATCTGCTCTCAAGCCATGTATGTTTAATGATCCTCCTTTTCAACTTTATGTTCTCTTTTTGTTTCCTTCCTTCTGATATCGCATCTCACAACTGCAGCTGCGTTCAAGCTCGCCCGAACACGACTTGGATGTAACTTTTTCCTTTATCGACCGAATCGCACAATATTCTTAATTATTGTTCGTAAGGGTTTCCCGGAACGATTTTACAATTTTGGCCTCGTTGGAAAAGAGGTGACTTTTTGTAGACAACCGTAGAATTTTTGACTGCTTTCCGTGATTTTCCTCCATCTTGTTCGCTGTTACTGTCGGTGCCTTCAAGAGGCGTAACCGAAAACACAAAAGTTCCGTAAAGCGTTCATGAAATAGCAGGTAGCATGGAAGTGTCCGCAATGAAGGTCACTGAACTGCTGAGAGTTCTGAAGATCACACGTTAAGCAATCTCGTCGATTCTTCGACCTGCGAGTTAAAGACACAGCTCTTGATAAAAATGGTTTCTGAGATTTTGCCAAGTATGAATTCGAGCCCCCCTCCCCCTTCCCTTATAGCATACGGGCCGATGTGACGTTGATCCCGAATGGGTCACAATAAGAGGCCAGACTCTGTATCGTGTGAATGCCGCACCACCCGTTAGTCGTAATACGGAATCTAATTGCCGGGCGACAATTTCGCATTGGAGCAACTTTGGTGAGAAGTCGATAGCTGATCATGCCCCAAGTTATATCTTACAATCGCTCTTTCCCTGTACTCTTCTGCTATCCTTCCTTCCGTTCAGCAAGAAATAATTATTTACTGCGATGTCGAATGGATTGCATAAGTTTATTAAGTATTTGCATTGACTAAGGTAGTTTTTTTTGCACGCAATTTTGTTTAGCTCTTGGTAATAATTTCCTATTATTTTTTATTCGCGCAATCCTACGATACCCATGCATGCTAATGTATAATGGCAAGGTTATTATTATCACCCTATTTCTTTTGCATGTTCTTCATACTGGGTCATTGATGTGTTCTTGTCAATGTTAAGAACACTCTTTGACTTTGATTTGAAGAACAGCTATGTGCAGCTAGAACCCGTTATTTTTATGCACTTCCTTGGAAATGACAGTATGATGAGTTTAATCGAAAAAACTCCATATGTTACTCTTTTTCTTATGAACTTGATCATCTCTGTAATCATAGATGTACTAATGTTTCATGTTAACATCATATTCTTAATCTGTTTTGTGCAATTATATGGCTTTGCAGCTTAATTTAGCCCGTATATCTCGAGGAAATCTGGGGTGATAAGTTACATCTATATGTCAACCTGATTAATTCATTCTTTTTTACTTATTCACTGTAATGAAAACGTCGATACAACCTTTTTAAATGATAATAATGCTGTCTTTGCTCGATTTGGATTATTATATTTTTTCACTCATTAATGAAGCATGTGGAACTCTCTGTTCTCCTTGGAATAGCGACATGGTAAGTTTCATTCGATTACACACTCCATTAACTCCTTTTTTCTTTACTCAATCTTCATTAAGATTCGTTGAGTGAATACTACGAAAAAGTATGAATGGAAGAATTAATAAAGTTGACTTTCAAATTGAACTTACCACGTCGCTATGCCATCGAGAACGTTTCCACATACAATACTAATGTACGGCAAAATAGTAATTCAAATCAAGCGAAGTCAGCGTTCATAACATTAAAAAAGGTTGTATCAACGTGTCCATTATAATGTACCAGTCGCATTGCCCAGCTTTCGCCGGGCATGCTCCTTTTTATATTATGGAGACAAGGAATAGTACAAACAAACTGAGATTTCCTTTCGAGAAGAATATAAAATGATATAAATTCGTGAGCTATGAAATCCTGTTCATGAATCACGATTTCATTCTAGTAATGACAAACACTTTATATAACTCAGAAATTTTGTGATTAGAGTACATACCTTATAAAACGTTTGACCCACTTGAAATTGCCAGACCTAGAGAGACGGTCGGAATTGCTTCACATCCGCGGAGATTTCTCACCTTACCTTGTTTACGATAATAGCAGAAGTATAGTGGTATCAGGTCCATAATAATCATGCCACACATATATATTTCTTTAAAAATTCCGTTTCACATGAAAAATTTTACTCTAGTCCCAGTCGAAGAGAACCGCGTCTATGACGGATGAATCTCTTAGGAGTGTTCAAAAAACGTATGCTTGAATTACATACCGTTCGGAACTCTTTTTTTCAAATTCAAGTCATATTCACCGATGCAGCCTCTTCCTCTAGCCTCATACCTCTTGGAAAATTTCGGATCATTTGAAGAACTGATAATCCTTCCAACCACTCTACCGAACGAAGCTATCTTCTTATTCAACTCTTATCCTTATGTTATATCCCTATCCAATATACATACTTGTTGCTTCTTCGTATCTACTCCCTTCCAATCAGGCCGAAATTCAGCAAATGCTGGTCAGAGGAGAGGACTTATTACTGATTGATTTCAGTAACATGTGAAGAGAACGCGACTTG